CGGGTATGTCATTTTTCCAGAAATTTCAGTTCGTAAAGAACCGGCGCCAGTCAAGTCTGAAACCGGCGCCGGTTAGGTCGGATTCTGCACAAAACATAGAGACGTGCAAGCCTATTCTTGATGGGAAAACTTCATCTTCCTCATTGTTGATCAAATATTGCTTCCATACCTGATTGTTGGGCTCGAATAGACTAAAACATGCCATTTTTAGCCTATATAAATCCCTCAATTCATCAAACATCAACATTCCATTCCATACTTTAATTCATAGTTCTTATAATTTGTTCTTGCTATTTTTCTTCAAGTTCTTGAGGAGAAAACTTCAACTTCCGAAATCATTGGTGTTTAAGTATTATTTCTTTTGTAATTTCATGTCCCATTACATTTCAATATTGTATTGTGATTAATATGGGCATTAGAGGCTAATTTCTTAGCCAAGGCTAGAGATGAACTTCTATGCCCACTAAGTGTTTGATAAAAGTTCTAAACCAATAAATTGTGATTTATCCTTTATATTTTGATTGTTTATTACTATGGTGTATAACATAGAAGTATGTTAAATTTAGTTTATACTTGCAATTAACATTGAAGTCTAAACTATGAACATTAAAGGATAAACATATATATTACCGAGAATAGAAATATATCCGGTATTATATGATACAGGTGTGATGTCTTGATATTCAACGGGGTTTTCGGTAGATGAATGTAAGCCGTAACGGGACTTACACGTAACGAAAACCACGCTCTCGCTGCCTTAACCGGAGTTGAGAATATATTAGCGACATTGTATTCATAGTTATTGGTAAAGAACTAATATTAAACCCTATTAAAGCATTTAAGTGATTCCCGAAGCCTTAGCCGTTGTTATCATTCATCTTAAATCCGAATTAATTAATGTTATTTCCTTGAATTAAAAGTGAAAAACCAAAAATATAAAACACAAATCAAAATCCTTGCATTTTACTCATTTATTTATTTAAAGTCATCTACTCTCGGACTAAATTAAACAACATTTCCCTGTGGATTTGACCCGGTATTTTACCGGAATTTATTACTTTATCGGCACTTGTACACTTGCAAGTTTAGCACGGTTAAGGACTCAGGTGATGCTAGTTCTGTACAGGGGAAGGAAGATGATTTAGATGAGGTGGAGAAGAAAATTTTTCAGACTGATTCTTCTTTTATTACTCTTTCTCCATTGAATTCAAAGCAGGCCTCTTCCCTCCCACCTTGAGTATGCTTTTCTAGATGATAGTCCTTACCTCCCTGTACGTTATTCTTGCATCCGGGCTTGAGCCATCCCAAATTTCAGCATGTCTTAATTTACTTAGTGAGCAAAGGGAAGCTCTAGCCCGGAAACTTTCTGACATGAAAGTAATCAATCCCTCTTTGATGGAAGAGAACGCTAACCCGGTAGTGCAGCCCCAAAGAAGTCTGAATCCTAATATGCAGGAAGTGGTTAGGGAGGAAGTCATCCGTCTGTTAGATGTAGGCATTATTTATCAGATTTCAGACACTCCCCGAGTCAGCCCGACCTAGGTGGTTCCCTAGAAAGGGGTGACGTGCACTTTGTCACGGTGCGTCAAAATAATATTCAATACTAACACTTATACGTAGTATAGGTGAAGTAGAGTTCGTATCCACAGGGAAAGGAATAATTATCTTTTTATGTAACTAGTGAATAAAGTGGGGTTTTGATTGAGTGATTTAATTAAATTAAACACGAAGATGAACGACTTATATGAGATTTAATTCAAGAATAAAAGGGACTTGGCATTGCTACTTTCCACTTGTTGATATATTTTAGTTGATCATTGTTATATCTATAACTTATCCCCTCTCGAATACTCAATCGAGGAGTACATCCAATTCATCGAGGGTATTTATTAACAACGACCGTTCATTAATAACCCTTACTATTAGTCAAGTGTAGAACACCGCCATATACCGACTTGATAGTAGCATTTAATCTCTTAACTCCTTGATGAAATCAATTGAGATTGATGACCTCAACACAACGGTTTTGGTTTAACCAACAAAATTAATCCCTCTTAAGTTTATTAACCACGACCGTGCATTAATAAACCAAAGTTACTTGTGAAACTGCCAACGATTAACCATTGGTTCGTTGATCGTTTCTAGTAATAATTGATATATGAAACAAAACTAGTTGATCCTTTAAGTAATGTTCAAAATATTAATATGAAATATGAATAGGAATTAATTAATACTCAAGGAAGAATATTAAAGAAGATGAATCCTACTATGGTATCTCAAATTTGAATGGTTGATGATTTGGTAAAGATTGGTGTAATATACTTCATCCATTGGTTCCAAAATGATCTGCAAAATAAATTTTTAAATAATTCACTAATGCAGTCACTTCAGCCAGAATTTCATAATTTTAACAAATTTATCTGATTCAATCAATTTCAGTGTTACAACTATTTTACAATCATAACTATTACACCAAAAGTGTGTAATTTCCGAAATATCAAACAACCAAAACTTACTAAAAACATAAACATACACACGGAAATTACAAGCGTATCAAGGGGGGATGACTGTGGTTAAGAACGAGAAAGATGAGTTGATTCCTACGCGGACGGTCACCGGATGACAGGTTTGCATTGATTATCGGAAATTAAATGCCGCCACCCGGAAGGACCACTTCCCCCTCCCCTTTATTGATCAGATTTTAGAGAAGCTAGCAGGGCATAAGTTTTATTGTTTCCTTGACGGGATGTCGGGATACTTCCAGATCGATCCCCATAGCCCCCGAGGACTAGGATAAGACCATGTTTACATGTCCATTCGGTACCTTTGCTTATTGAAGGATGACGTTTGGATTATATAATGCCCCTGCTACCTTTATGAGATGCATGCTTGTTATTTTTGGGGATTTTATTGGGAAGTTTATGCATGTTTTTATGGATGATTTTTCTGTGTTTGGTGATTCTTTTGATAAGCGCTTAGGGTATTTGAAGAAAGTCTTGGTTAGGTGTCGAAAGGTGAATTTGGTGCTTAACTGGGAGAAGTGCCACTTTATGGTTAATGAGGGAGTGGTCCTAGGGCATAAGATATCGAGTAGGGGGGTTGAGGTTGATCCGGCTAAGGTAGATGTGATTTCCAAATCGCCTCCCCAGCTCCCCTACCTCGGTCCGTGCTATTATTATTAAGTAATAAATGATCGGTAGTTAATTAATACTAATCTGTATTCCTCACAATAGCACACCAGATATGTATTACAAAAATGCTTATAATTTCATATTTTCCACATATTCATATTTTCCTCATGTAATTTCATTTGCAAATAATTTTATTATGGTTTAACCGTACTACTTAATACGGAGTAGTAGCTTTCTGAGTCTTATAATAAACTTAAATCTACTAACACTATTACCTCATTCAAAAACCGATTAGGCTGGTCTCAGGACAAATATTATTGGAACTTCATTGCTTCAAAGTGAAGATGGTATCTCAAATTTGAATGGTTGATGATTTGGTAAAGATTGGTGTAATATACTCCATCCATTGGTTCCAAAATGATCTGCAAAATAAATTTTTAAATAATTCACTAATGCAGTCACTTCAGCCAGAATTTCATAATTTTAGCAAATTTATCCGATTCAATCAATTTCAGTGTTACAAAATGGGCCATATGTATCCAAGTAGGAAATTTCTTTATGCGCCCCCTAGAATTACTAAACATAACCCATGTAAGACAAACTTACTCTTTTTTAATTTTCTTTTGCAAAAAGTGCTTCTCATCACATTATAGCAACCTCAAATATTTTTTAATTCTCTAACATACGGATGAAAAGCTGTACATATTTTTTAATTTCATAATGTTCCATAAGTTTCGGTCATTTCAAAAGTTCTTTGATTTAAAAAATAAAGTTATTTCTATCAAATGAATTTTAAATATTGCGTTCTTACTTAATTTCGCTTACACCATTTTGACAAAGATCTAATATTATTTTATTTTGAAATTAAAATGAAATATTAAAAATAATATTCTAAAAAGTGCAATACTTGTTTTACATTTGTAATACACATTCCTTAAGTTAATTTATAATATCACACCAGCTATGTATCACAAAGTGTCAAAGAGTGCTCAAAATATTCTTTCACACTTTCTAAACGATAAAAAATAATAGTATTAAGTAACTGTAAAAAGCATCTAGATATGTTTAAGCTAAAAAAATCAATCGAATTAAAAATATCTTTATTACTCTTATTAGTATTATATCAAGACATTAGAATGTGATATTTATTCTAATCTGATATGGAGTTCTAAATTTTAGAGAGGATTCCTTTAAAGATGTTTTTAATTAAATTAAATTTTCTGTTCTGATCTGATTTGATATGATCTCACCTAGTCTGGTATAATAAATGTCTATATGATCTATAGACAATATCTTTTTTTTTTAATTTAATTAATGTAACCTAGAACGAACTTGTAGGATGTTTTAGGAATTTTTTAAATTACATACTCCCTCCGTCCCTAAATAAACTTCCAACTTTCCTTTTTCGTCCGTCCCAATTAAAACTTCCACTTTCCTTTTTTGGCCAGAATTTGTGGTTCACAGCAATTCTTACACATTTCTATCTCCTCTGCACAACTCTTCACCACACAATACTCACTATCTTAAACTTCGCGCCAAACCTATTTCGAAGATATAATAGGGACGGAGGGAGTAGTATAATTCTATTCTAACTTTAGGAAGTTTTTGTACAAAAGAAACTTTAGGAACATGAATTGAAGATTTGAAGATATCGTAGAATTGCTGGAAATCTAATCTTACTTGGTCCTAAAGTAACGTAACATGAATTGAAGAAGTCTAATCTAACGTTTTTTTTGAAAGAACGTTATTTTCGTCCAATTCCCTTATTTTCGTCCATGAGTTTAATTCCTGTATTTTTGCATGTTAGGCAAAAAAGTCCTCTTATGAGAACTTCCTAAAAAATATCTTAGTCGAATTTGCAATTATTAGGGCGTAAAGAATAGATAGGAGCGTCAAGAGAGACAAATATATAATTCACCCATACGATCGAAATACGTAGCCATCATCATTCAAGGAAAGAAAGATGGGAAGAGCGGAAGGATGGACTAGATTACGCGCAGCCGCCCTATTGTTCAACGCCATATTGTTAGGCGTCGGAAACTGCGGCAACCCTCTTCTCACGCGCCTCTACTTCATCGGCGGCGGCGCCCGGATTTGGTTTTCCGCCTGGCAGCAAACCGCCGCTTGGCCAGTCACTTTCATCCCTCTTTTCGTCTCCTACATCCACCACCGCCGCAGCCGGAGCCGGACAAGTGACTCCGGTGAGTTCCAACACATCACGCCGTTTCTTTTCATCTCCGCCGCCCTCATTGGCCTTCTGATGGGCCTGAACAACTACTTCTTCACGTACGGCTACGCCAAGCTCCCCGTCTCCACGGCGCTTCTGATCGGGAGCGCTCAGCTCGCGTTCACGTCGGTGTTCGCTTTCTTCCTCGTGAAGCAGAAGTTTACGGCGTTCACGATAAACGCGATCGTTTTGCTGACGTTATCAGCAATTGTTTTAGGTGTCCGGGCGGGGAACGACCGCCCGGACGGGGAGCCGAACAAGGATTATATTATGGGGTTTGTATTAACAGTTGGGTCGGCGGCTTTGATAGGGTTGCTTTTTCCGTTGATTGAGTTGAGTTATAGTAAGGCGAAGAAGGCCAAAATTGAGTATAGTATGGTGCTGGAATTTCAGATGGTTCTATGTTTTGCTGCCACTCTTTTCTGCACGGTTGGAATGTTCATAAACCACGACTTCCAGGTATGTTGCGTTATACTACTTCATCCTAGTTCAAATGTTTTTATTTCAAATCATTACACATTGATAATGATAAAATATTTTAGAACAAATATTTGTCATACAAAACATGTTTATTGTTGTACATTTCCAAACACTTTATACGGAATATATACTAAATTTGAACTGGTGTGAGAATTCTAGTCTAACATGGACAAATTAAAACTGCTCCTCATCCTTCAAGGAGCAGAATCAGATATTGAAGTGTCTGGGTGAAAGTGCAAAAACACTTCTGGATGCTCTGAATTACTCATAGAAGCATTTTTTAAGGGCAGTGCGAGATCAGATTCTGAAAAACTAATTCTGATTCTGCTTCTGATTTTAAAAGAGAAGCAGAATCAGTTCCAAACACCCCTAATCTAGTCAACCAACAACCCTTAAAATGTTTTAATCGAATTCAAATTTTCTGACAGTGTTTATTACAAAGTACGATCGATAGTATGATTTGTATTAGGTACTAATTATATGTATATTACAAAGTACGATCGATAGTATTAGGTAAATCTGCTAGAAGAGAAAAAGATCTCAGGATATCAGCTACATACAATTTGAAAATTGAAATAAGAGAGGATATGTGTTTCAATTCACTTCCGCTCTGGCCTGGAATCAAATTCTTAATTCCCAATTTCTCAAATATGATGTATTTTAATGAAATAATTACATGAATATGATCAAAATAAAGATGGTTTACAAAAATATGACTAGTTACTAGAGTAGTAATGAAATCATAGTAATTCATGTTCAAGTTTTGAACTTAAGTTACTACAACACCACGTTGTAGTAATGAATAGTCATATTTATGTAAATAAGTTTTATTTTAGTAATATTCTTGTAAAAAATCCTGTTTTAATGTGGGGCGACTTGAGCTTTTTGGAGGTCCTAGACATAAGAAAACTTGTCTCTTTTCATCCCACTAACCATGGCACAAAAGGAGTGAGTGAGTCTCACACACCAAATTGATTGATATTAAATTGATAAAATAAGAATAAAGTAATAATATTTATAACTACACACTTTACTAAATTTGGCACTACACCCGTTCTCTTTTAATTGCAACATTAGACTTTTTTCACTATTCATATATTCTACTTTGATTATATTTTATTATTTAATGTATAATAAATTAAAATTTAAAAAATATGTTTAAAATTTTCTCATTCTCAATTTTCAAAATATGATTTTTTTTAAATTTTTTACTAATAAGGAATGAAAGATATTAATGGTCAAACTTGGTTGACAAACGTGAAATGTTGATTGTTGCAATTGATAGAGAATGAATAAAGTATGAAAGGATCTTAATAGCACCTACCGAAAAGAAAAATTGAGACAATTTTAATGGGACGGAGGGAGTACTTTATATTAAGATATCATATTAATTTGATTTGTAAAACATAACAAACAACAAATGAGAAAATTGAATTGAATGAAAACACCATATGTAAAACAAAACATATTCAAATTGCATCATATAATGTGATTGTGCCATATAATTTTATCGTCAAAAGAATAAACCGATAATAAAAATTCTGAAACACAATCAACAAAAGATTAAATTGGCAAATACTTCGTACAATATAAGTGAAAATAAAAACATAAGAAGTGACACTACTACAATCAAATAAAGTAAAAATTATTTTAAAATTCCCGAATACTTCGTAGCACAAAGGGATAATTATTTATACCACTATTGACCAAATAATTTATAAATTATAATCATTTCATCATAAGTTTAACTTTAGACTTTAAATTAATGGTACTACACATTTAATATTTAGGAAGTTACTTAATTATAATCCTACAAAAATAAAAATCCTAAATCTAGAAAATACAGACTTCCAGGTATAAAATATTTTTCGTAGAGGTGGTTTAGTGCTTTAGTAAAAGAGATATTACCCAAAATGGGACTAAAAAAGTTTGCAAATTCTAAAATAGGACTTCCATGTTTTTATTCCCAAAATAGGACTAATTACTGCCATGTTTTGACAGTACCAGACTTCAAACATGGCAGTATTTTCCAAATTTGGCAGTAATTAGTCCTATTTTGGGAATAAAAACATGACAGTCCTATTTTGGAATTTTCAAACTTTTTTAGTCCCATTTCGGGAACTTTCCCTTAGTAAAACGAGAAGAGAAAAAAAACTCAACACTCAGTCAGTTTTCTTGATTATTTTTCTAAATTTATTATAAAATCATAGTTAAGGCGATCAAGTATAAACTTCAATTCTGCCTTCTAGACAGTTCCACTATATACTATCGTCCGTTTTTTTAATCGCTACATGTTCTACTTTGACTTCATTTTATGATAGAATTTTGCACTATTCACATGTTCTACTTTTACTTCATTTTATGGTACTCCCTCTAGTTTTATTTAACCTTCAAACTTTTACTTCACACAAAATAAGGAAAGAAATTTGACTTTACTGTAGAGTACACTGTTGAGGCACTATTTGACACTGGTTGGCACTCTTGAGACACTGTTTGTCACTGTTGAGACACTGTTTGGCACTGTTTGCCACTGTTTTGATGTAGATTTCTTTGTCAAAAAAGGAAATAAGGAAGTGTGAAGTTTATTTTAGACCGTCCTAAAAAGGAAAGTGTGAAGTTTATTAAAAACCGGAAGGAGTATTATTTTACGAAAAATATTTTTTGAAAAAAATATTGTTAAATTTATCTCATTATAAATTTTCAAAATCTGTTTTTTAATTATTTTTTACTATTAGAGATTAAAATATAATTACGGTCAAAGACGTGCTTTGGCAAGTGTGAAATGTTGACCGTTGCAATTAAAAAAGAACGGAAGAAGTATCTATCGAGATTAAACACTACCAAATAAGTGCCAGAATAACAACAAAGATTATTGGATCTCCCAAAATCCCAATGCCCACTCATTTATATTTGCAATTTTCTAGCGACGCTGTGACGAATGCTGAATACAATTTCTTTTTGTTTTCTAGTTTTTGAATTCCTATCTAGAAACATACGGAGTAATAGCGTAATTTCAAATATTTTAACTCTAAATACTAAACATAATTGAGAATGACAAAGATAATTGTTGGACAGAACTCCATCCCATTTAAACATTACTAAATTTGTACCAGGAGTTAAATAACAAAAGTAAAAAGAAAGTAATAAATTTACAAGACAAATTAAAAAAATGATAAAGTTTATTAGTATGAATGTAGGGGTGTTTGGATCTGATTCTTAAAACTGTTTCTGCTCCTTCAAGTAGGAGAAACATAAGTTGGAGTGTTTCGGTGAAAGTGCATATATAAGTGATTTTGATGCTCTAATTTACTTCTAGAATCAGTTTCTTAAAAAGTTGGGGGAGACCAGGTTCTGAAAACTGATTCTGATTCTGCTTTATATTTAAGAAAGAAGCACAAGTAGAATCAGTTCCAAACACCCCATAGTATTGTTTAGAAACTACTACGTCCATGTGTCACGCCCCAGACCGCGATCCAAGCGCGTGTACAACCGCCGTATAACTAAGTGACGTCACCCACGAGTCAACCTCACTTAATTACACAAGGCGTTCGAGAAAACAATTCATCCATACTCAGTAGTAAACATACATAACAACATCACATTTAAACCAATGAATAGCGGAAATATTCAACGGTAAGTCATGAGCCACAACCGGCCAACAACATGGGCATGCAAGCCCAAAAAGTGTTTATAGTAAAACAAATACCCATGAGCAAGTGTTCGGTAGTTTGAAAGAAAATAAGGAAGCACGAACCACGTCTTCCTGATTTGATATCACCCGTGAGAAGGTGCAAGTAGCAAGCCCTAGCTTCAACCTGAAAATGGTGGGGCCCCCCGAAGGGGTCAGTACAAGTACCGAGCGAGTAGCAGGCTAAATATAGAATAACTAGCGTTTCAAGTATAAGACCCAAACATAGGGTGATACTTAAATAGATAGTCCTTCCCCCAAGTTATGAAATACTTATAAGTATATATATACTTGGAAAATATCCGATCCGTAGATCACCATTTTATTTGGGAAAAATAGTATTAGTCAATATTCTTGACTAAAAACCTCAACCCACCCATATACCCATGAGTGTATAGGACTCCTCCTTGTCCCTATTTGTATATCCTAATTTATGAGTTTTAGGATCAAAATCCTCGGATACTCCACCGGTTTGTGAGTGTTAAGGCCTCATAAGTCCTAGGGTCCTCCACCAAGTTTTGAGTGTTAAGTACTTTTAAGTACTAGGGTCCTCCACCAAGTTTGAGTGTTAAGTACTTTTTAAGTACTAGGGTCCTCCACCAAGTTTGAGTGTTAAGTACTTTTTTAAGTACTAGGGTCCTCCACCAAGTTTTGAGTGTTAAGTACTTTTTAAGTACTAGGGTCCTCCACCAAGTTTGAGTGTTAAGTACTTTTTAAGTACTAGGGTCCTCCACCAAGTTTGAGTGTTAAGTACTTTTTAAGTACTAGGGTCCTCCACCAAGTTTGAGTGTTAAGTACTTTTTAAGCACTAGGGTCCTCCACCAAGTTTTCCTATTATCAACCTCCTATCAACCTAGATAGAGTCTATATCATACTTAGTTACTCATAACTAATCCAATACATAAATTCTTATGTATCACAACCCATGCAAAACCATGCATGTATATAGATTTATATTTAATTAATACCAACCGGTATTAATTAAATCCTTTGTTCTTCGGTCCACGTTTTCGTTGACCGCCATTTCATGCCTTGTGTGTATCAACTTAATCATCATATAATTAAGTTAATAATATTCATTTGTGCTTCTAATACACTTCAAGCAAATATGCATTTCATATAATTCTTCATATCATATTCCATGCATCAACAATTAATTTCTTTCATACAAACTTAACCCTATTGGCTAATCACATGTTTAAATATCTTTTAAACATTATTATGAACTCATATAACATTTATTTAGGTAATCTCATAATTAACCCAAAAGTTATAAGATATTAAGCCGTCCACTCACCTTGAGCTAGCGTTTTGAAGTTTTACCCTTCTTGGTTGAACTCCGGTGAAACTCCGGCGACTTTTGGTCAACTCCGGCGACAACTCCGGCGACTTTTCCAACTTTGTGAAATCACTTGAAATACCTTTCACAAGTTCCTAACAAGGTTTTATAATCATAAAACCCGTATTAATACAAATAACCTCAAAACGGTTATTTTCCGGTGAACCGGTCGTTTTGGCTTCTAAGTCCGTTCTTGGACATAGAATCACTTTCCAACCCATGAATCCATACTTATAACATATGGAACCATACTAAAGCTTCCTCATATTATATATAGTTCATATGGTAGAAGAAAAATAGAGAGGAAGTTATAATAAGGTCATTACCTTAATTATTTCACACTTTTAGCACTTTAGCTCCTTTTTGGGTGATTCTTCCTTGATGAGTTCTCTTCAACAATGGAGGAAGGAAGAAGAAGGGTTTTCCTTCTCTTGTTGCAGCAGCTTGGCCGAAATGGGGGGAGGGAGAGGGGTGAGGTATACCCATTTGTCTCATTGAACAAATGAGTGTGGATGGGGGCCACCTCATTTTTGTTTGATGCCATAAAGATCAAATCAAGGCCTCCTCCCATGTTTCTCTTCTCCTATCAGCCGGCCAACCCCTCCAATTTGAGTGTAAAAACGTGGGTTGGCCCCCACTCATGTGGGAGGTCAACCCTTTTTGTCCCGAAGTGTACAATCGGTCCCGAAAGTTGTATTTTTCGGACTGTTTTAAATATATTTTATTTTATCGGGTCTAATAAAATATATTACGTGTTCTCAATCGTAATGGCCTTTTGAAATAATATGTATTCCAAAACATTAATTTAGAAGCCTCCGAAATTCATTTTCGGGCTGTTACCCGTTAAATTGTCGGTACCGGTATTTGGGCTTCTTTTGCCCAATCGGCCAACACAGGGCTTTTCCACGACCCAAGTAAAATATCCACCACCATATAAATATTATCTTGACCAAGATGAATAAACTATGTGGTCTCGGGAGTGTTGGGTGGTCCCCGCTCTCGATGTGGGCCCCACGTGCAATTTACTATTCACGCGAAAGAATTAATAAAAATTTGCAACTTCGTAAATTCATTCATCCTTTAATAAGGTTCAATACATTATTTACATAAAGTAAATATATTTGGGGACGGTGTCACAAGTTCACCCCCCCTTATTTGGGATTTCGTCCTCGAAATCCAAGTATCTAATCGAAAAGAAATGGGTATTGCTCCCTCATTGAGACCTCGGTCTCCCAAGTTTCTTCTTCGACTCGATCACTCCTCCAAAGGACCTTTACCATAGGAATCTCCTTATTCCTAAGCTTCTTCACTTGTTGACCAACAATCTTCACTGGTTCCACCGCATATTGCAAGTCCTCACGGATCTCTACCGGTGGTTTCTCAAGAATATGAGATGGGTCTCGTATGTACTTCTTGAGCATTGATACATGAAACACGTCATGTATCTTCTCAAGTTCAGGCGTCAACTTGAGTCGGTAAGCCACGGCCCCGATCCTTTCAAGGATCTCAAACGGGCCTATGTATCGGGGGTTAAGCTTCCCCCTCGATACAAATCGGATGATGCCCTTCCAAGGGGAAATCCTTAGGAAGACCTCATCACCGACTTCGAACTCCAACGGCCTCCGCCGTTTATCAGCATAACTCTTCTGTCGGTCCTGAGCAGCCTTCAATCTATCCCGAATGATCCTTACCTTGGCCTTGGTGATCTCAACCAGCTCTATTCCTTCGAGTTTGGCCTCGCCAACCTCGTCCCAACACAATGGTGTCCTGCATTTCCTCCCATACAATGCCTCATATGGAGGCATGCCAATACTTGCTTGATAACTGTTGTTATAAGCAAACTCCACTAGGGCCAAATGTTTGTCCCAACTTCCTTGGAACTCCAGCGCACATGCCCTAAGCATGTCCTCCAAAATCTGTATCACCCGTTCGGACTGCCCATCCGTCTGTGGGTGAAAAGCTGTGCTAAACTTCAGTTTAGTCCCCAAAGATGCCTGAAACTTTGGCCAAAATCGGGATGTGAATCGTGGATCCCTATCCGAGACAATGGATATTGGGACTCCATGCAATCTCACGATCTCCTCCGTGTATAGCTTGGCCAATCTTTCAAGAGGATAAGTAATGTTGATAGGCAAAAAGTGTGCACTCTTGGTGAGCCTATCAACCACTACCCAAACTGCATCATAGTTGTTCACCGTTCGTGGTAGCCCCACCACGAAGTCCATGGTCACGTGCTCCCACTTCCACTCTGGGATGGTGAGTGGCTGCAAGAGCCCTGCCGGGTGCTGATGTTCTGCCTTAACTTGCTGGCAAGTAAGGCATCGACTCACATACTCGGCGATGTCTCTCTTCATACCTGACCACCAGTAACTTTCCTTCAAATCTCGGTACATCTTAGTACCTCCTGGATGCATAGCATAAGCCGAAGAATGAGCCTCCTCAAGTATAGATTTCTGGAGTTCCTCATTCCTTGGTATGCACACACGATCTTTAAACAATAAAAGACCGTCATCACGTACCCGAAAATTCTCAACGGGTCCTTCCAGGATCCTTTCACGGATCTTCTGACATTCCTCATCAATGGCCTGACTTCGACTAATCTCGCCCAATAGGGTGGGCCTAACCTCAAATCGAGCAATGAGAGCCCCACACGTGGACACCTCCACGCGTGCCCTCAATGCCTGTAGACATGTGAGTAGCGTCCCTGTCGTATTCTTCCTGCTCAGTGCGTCGGCCACGACATTGGCCTTTCCGGGATGATAGTCGATGATCAAGTCATAGTCCTTGATCAACTCCATCCATCTCCTTTGCCTCATATTCAACTCTTTCTGAGTGAATACGTACTTCAAGCTCTTATGGTCTGTAAAAATGTGACATGTCTCCCCGTAGAGATAATGCCTCCAGATTTTCAGTGCAAACACTACCGCCCCTAATTCTAGATCATGGGTAGGGTAGTTCACCTCGTGCTTCCTCAATTGCCTTGAAGCATAGGCAATCACTTTACCGTTTTGCATCAGTACACATCCAAGTCCTTGGATGCTAGCATCACTGTAGATATCATACCCTATCCCCTGTATGGGTAGGGCTAGGACTGGTGCTTCGGTAAGTCGTCTCTTCAGTTCAAGGAACCCTTTCTCACACTTGTCGTCCCATACAAACTTGGCCCCTTTCTTTGTGAGCTTCGTTAATGGGGACGCCAATACGGAGAATTTCTCAACAAATTTACGATAGTATCCCGCTAGGCCAAGGAAACTACGTATCTCTTTCACATTCTTGGGCCTCTCCCAATCCATGATAGCTTTTATCTTGGCGTTATCCACAGCTACACCCGAACCGGATATGACGTGACCAAGAAAACCAATCTCCTTGAGCCAAAATTCGCATTTAGAGAACTTGGCAAAGAGTTGCTTTTCCCTTAGCCGATCAAGTATAAGCCCCAAATGATGTTCGTGCTCCTCCTCGCTCTTGGAGTATATCAAGATATCATCAATGAATACTATTACAAATTGATCTAAGTATTCACTAAACACCCGGTTCATCAAGTCCATGAATGCCGCCGGTGCGTTGGTTAAACCAAATGACATCACAAGGAACTCGTAATGACCATACCTAGTACGGAATGCACTTTTAGGTATGTCGCTTTCCTTGATCTTCAACTGATGATACCCCGACCTCAAATCAATCTTCGAGAACACTATTGCCCCCCGAAGTTGATCAAACAAGTCATCAATCCTCGGTAAGGGATATCTGTTCTTGATTGTGACCTTGTTCAACTGTCGGTAGTCAATACACATTCTTAGTGTACCATCTTTCTTTTTTACGAAGAGTACGGGTGCTCCCCACGGTGAATGACTGGGTCTGATGAACCCGTTGTCCAGTAATTCTTGTAGTTGGACCTTCAACTCTTGGAGTTCGGCCGGCGCCATTCGATAAGGAGGAATCGAAATGGGTTTGGTTCCCGGCTCCACTTCAATTACAAACTCTATCTCTCTATCGGGTGGAAGCCCCGGTAGGTCTTTGGGAAAGACATCCGGGTACCTGCACACGACCCGTACATCTTTGATGTCGACTTCCTTCTTGGTATCGTCCACCACGTAGGCAAGGTACGCGTGGCATCCCTTCCTCATCATCTTCCGTGCTCTCATCACGGATATGATACAAGCACTAGATTTCCCCCGATCTCCCTTGAAACATAGCGTGTTTCCTTGATCATCCTCGAGCTCTAACACCTTGGTGTAGCAATCTACTCGAGCATGGTGTTTCTCGAGCCAATCCATTCCTAGGATTGCATCGAACTCCAACATGCTTAGAGGTACGAAATCACAAGTCAAAGGTTGACCCGTCACTTCTACCTCGCATGACGGATAGTAATGATTTCTCTCCACGTCGTCTCCTAACGGTGTGGAGACTAGCAATGTTTGCGTCATAGGTGTCAATGGCACGTCAAGGCCCTCGGCGAACGCCTCACTCACAAATGAGCGTTGTGCCCCGGTATCGATGAGGATCCTCGCACACCTACCATTGATCTTTAATGTTCCTACATTTATACACCATGTAAGATACATTTTCTAATGTTTTTACACATTTTTAGGAGGTTATTAGGCTCTTACTAATGTTTGGAATCAAACGGGGGTCCAAACGTAGAAGAACGGGGCGAAAAAAATCAAGTTTCGGGTGCCTGGGGTCCACGCACGGCGTGCCTGGGTGGCACGCACGGTCGTGCGTGCGTGAGAAGTTCGGAATCCGCCACTGCCGGCTACGCACGATCGTGCGTAGCTGGTCACGCACGGTCGTGCGTCCCACGCACGGCGTGCCTTCCCTGCACGCACGGCGTGCGTCTGCGCGGAAAATGGCCAGAGGCTGCTGCCTCGTACGCACGGTCGTGCGTCTGTAGGTACGCGCGATCGCGCGTAGTTGTTTTTAGCCCGTTTCGCCCCGAATTCGCGGGGTTTGACCCCGGGGTGGCCCGCACCCAAACCCAATGACTCATATGACCCAAATAAGCCTAGAAATATAGGAAAATAAGTGTATTACCTGCAACGGAGTCCGGGTTTGCTCGCGCATCCGCCTCGGTCATTGCGTACACTCGTGCTTGGGTCCCGCCTTGATTTACGGACGCGGCATGGCTTGTGGACGCGCCGCCTCTTCCCGTACCGCCGTTTGACGGTCCCGCACGGTTTCTTCCCGTCATGGTTCCTCCTCCGGATCCCGAAGCTCCTCCTCCCCCTAATTGTGGGCAATTTGCCTTCATGTGGCCCGTGTTCCCGCATTGATAACACCTTGGGGGTGCATTGCACTTCCCAAAATGATTTTTCGAACAATTGGCACACTTTGGAGGCCCCGTCCTTTGTGAGGAGGATGCATGCCACCGAGCATCCCTGTTCTTCTTTGCCGGTGGTGCCGGTGTCTTGAACGAACCGCCACCTCCACCGTGCTTATCCTTTCGTGCTTGCTCGGGCGGCCCCGAACTTTGCCATTTCCTCTTTTTCGCCTCCTCGGCGTCTCTCTCTTTTCTCTCATTCCATTGGGCCTCCCCGAGAAGGCCCTGCTCCACCACCTCGCTGAAGGTCATGTGGCGCGAGTACGTAGCTCGGTCACGGATGTCCAAGAGTAGGGCATCCCAAAAGTGCTCCGTCATGCGGTTCTCATCAACCGCGTACTCCGGCAAGAACCTAGCCAAGGTTCTAAACTCTTGTTCCAGTTGCTTAACTGTGCCGCCCTCTTTCTGTTTGAGGTTAGTGTACTCTCTCCGTTTCACATTCACCTCGTACTCGGAGTAGTATTGAGCATAGAACTCTAGCTCAAAGTCCGCCCATGTTATTTCCCCATGGTACTTCCCTTCCACGCTCTCCCACCACGTAGAAGCTATCCCTTCAAGGAGCCGTGAAGCGACAGTCAACTTCACGTCCGGTGTGATTTGCATGTCCCTTGATGCATCCTTCACCTTCTTGATCCAATCGGCGGCAACGGTAATGTCACCGGTGCCGTCAAAGGACCTACACCCCAAGGCCCTAGCCTCCTTGAGGTACTTGGAGATTCTCACGACAAAACCTCCTTCACGCCCACCTTGTGACGCCGCTGGGGTGGCCACGGAAGCTCCCCGGCTTCCTTGACCCGAACCACCGCGAGAGCCACGCCTCGCTTGGCGCCTAAGGTCCCTCCTCAATTTTTCCTTTTGATACCATTCAAGCAATTCGCCCATTTGGGCGAACTTGGCATCACTCTCTTCATCATCATCATCGGTGTACGTGTCACCCCCATCATACGGGGTCTCTTCATGCTCCGTCTCTGGCACGTAGGTTGAGTCGTAGTCTTCGGTGTTGGTCTCATACACCGAGCTCACATGGCCATCACTCACAGTTTGAGCTTGATGACCTCCACGGCTTCCACGGCCTCCACGGCCTCCTCTCGAACCCCGAGATGCAGCCCGGCTTCCCCTTTGGGATGCTACCGGCGCCTGCCCCCTCGGATTGTTCCTGGTCCTCATTCGCCTGCCCTCTATTTCTGAAAGAAAATGGATGAGTCATTAGACTCCTATAAATGTCAACTGACGGAAGGACGTTACAGACACGTATTGGCCCAAGTCACTACCATACCAATTGTTAAGGGTACCATCTTAACAATTAGAGGCCTTGCAACTTAAGCACCAATAGTCCTATAAACGTCAAAATACAATGCTCATGGTTTTCGGTAAAAACTCTTCTATAAAATCTTTTGTGAGAGGTTGATTATATAGTTTAGAACTGAGATGGCTCTGATACCACTTAATTGTCACGCCCCAGACCGCGATCCAAGCGCGTGTACAACCGCCGTATAACTAAGTGACGTCACCCACGAGTCAACCTCACTTAATTACACAAGGCGTTCGAGAAAACAATTCATCCATACTCAGTAGTAAACATACATAACAACATCACATTTAAACCAATGAATAGCGGAAATATTCAACGGTAAGTCATGAGCCACAACCGGCCAACAACATGGGCATGCAAGCCCAAAAAGTGTTTATAGTAAAACAAATACCCATGAGCAAGTGTTCGGTAGTTTGAAAGAAAATAAGGAAGCACGAACCACGTCTTCCTGATTTGATATCACCCGTGAGAAGGTGCAAGTAGCAAGCCCTAGCTTCAACCTGAAAATGGTGGGGCCCCCCGAAGGGGTCAGTACAAGTACCGAGCGAGTAGCAGGCTAAATATAGAATAACTAGCGTTTCAAGTATAAGACCCAAACATAGGGTGATACTTAAATAGATAGTCCTTCCCCCAAGTTATGAAATACTTATAAGTATATATATACTTGGAAAATATCCGATCCGTAGATCACCATTTTATTTGGGAAAAATAGTATTAGTCAATATTCTTGACTAAAAACCTCAACCCACCCATATACCCATGAGTGTATAGGACTCCTCCTTGTCCCTATTTGTATATCCTAATTTATGAGTTTTAGGATCAAAATCCTCGGATACTCCACCGGTTTGTGAGTGTTAAGGCCTCATAAGTCCTAGGGTCCTCCACCAAGTTTTGAGTGTTAAGTACTTTTAAGTACTAGGGTCCTCCACCAAGTTTGAGTGTTAAGTACTTTTTAAGTACTAGGGTCCTCCACCAAGTTTGAGTGTTAAGTACTTTTTTAAGTACTAGGGTCCTCCACCAAGTTTTGAGTGTTAAGTACTTTTTAAGTACTAGGGTCCTCCACCAAGTTTGAGTGTTAAGTACTTTTTAAGTACTAGAGTCCTCCACCAAGTTTGAGTGTTAAGTACTTTTTAAGTACTAGGGTCCTCCACCAAGTTTGAGTGTTAAGTACTTTTTAAGCACTAGGGTCCTCCACCAAGTTTTCCTATTATCAACCTCCTATCAACCTAGATAGAGTCTATATCATACTTAGTTACTCATAACTAATCCAATACATAAATTCTTATGTATCACAACCCATGCAAAACCATGCATGTATATAGATTTATATTTAATTAATACCAACCGGTATTAATTAAATCCTTTGTTCTTCGGTCCACGTTTTCGTTGACCGCCATTTCATGCCTTGTGTGTATCAACTTAATCATCATATAATTAAGTTAATAATATTCATTTGTGCTTCTAATACACTTCAAGCAAATATGCATTTCATATAATTCTTCATATCATATTCCATGCATCAACAATTAATTTCTTTCATACAAACTTAACCCTATTGGCTAATCACATGTTTAAATATCTTTTAAACATTATTATGAACTCATATAACATTTATTTAGGTAATCTCATAATTAACCCAAAAGTTATAAGATATTAAGTCGTCCACTCACCTTGAGCTAGCGTTTTGAAGTTTTACCCTTCTTGGTTGAACTCCGGTGAAACTCCGGCGACTTTTGGTCAACTCCGGCGACAACTCCGGCGACTTTTCCAACTTTGTGAAATCACTTGAAATACCTTTCACAAGTTCCTAACAAGGTTTTATAATCATAAAACCCGTATTAATACAAATAACCTCAAAACGGTTATTTTCCGGTGAACCGGTCGTTTTGGCTTCTAAGTCCGTTCTTGGACATAGAATCACTTTCCAACCCATGAATCCATACTTATAACATATGGAACCATACTAAAGCTTCCTCATATGATATATAGTTCATATGGTAGAAGAAAAATAGAGAGGAAGTTATAATAAGGTCATTACCTTAATTATTTCACACTTTTAGCACTTTAGCTCCTTTTTGGGTGATTCTTCCTTGATGAGTTCTCTTCAACAATGGAGGAAGGAAGAAGAAGGGTTTTCCTTCTCTTGTTGCAGCAGCTTGGCCGAAATGGGGGGAGGGAGAGGGGTGAGGTATACCCATTTGTCTCATTGAACAAATGAGTGTGGATGGGGGCCACCTCATTTTTGTTTGATGCCATAAAGATCAAATCAAGGCCTCCTCCCATGTTTCTCTTCTCCTATCAGCCGGCCAACCCCTCCAATTTGAGTGTAAAAACGTGGGTTGGCCCCCACTCATGTGGGAGGTCAACCCTTTTTGTCCCGAAGTGTACAATCGGTCCCGAAAGTTGTATTTTTCGGACTGTTTTAAATATATTTTATTTTATCGGGTCTAATAAAATATATTACGTGTTCTCAATCGTAATGGCCTTTTGAAATAATATGTATTCCAAAACATTAATTTAGAAGCCTCCGAAATTCATTTTCGGGCTGTTACCCGTTAAATTGTCGGTACCGGTATTTGGGCTTCTTTTGCCCAATCGGCCAACACAGGGCTTTTCCACGACCCAAGTAAAATATCCACCACCATATAAATATTATCTTGACCAAGATGAATAAACTATGTGGTCTCGGGAGTGTTGGGTGGTCCCCGCTCTCGATGTGGGCCCCACATGCAATTTACTATTCACGCGAAAGAATTAATAAAAATTTGCAACTTCGTAAATTCATTCATCCTCTAATAAGGTTCAATACATTATTTACATAAAGTAAATATATTTGGGGACGGTGTCACACCATGCACCTCAAAATTGGGATAGGGACAGTTGATACACAACTCCTATTAAGAAAAGTAAAGTTGTACAATTGATATTAAATTTGGTAACCGTAAATAAAGGCTGATCTATATTATGGTTATGGTGGTCTAAAAGCACAAGCATACTTATTTTTAGTTAAATGCTTAGGCGTATATTTTTCATTATCCCAATTTAACCCACTATTAGTTAAAGCTCAAAACAATTTTCAGCTCAACCTATTTAATCCAACCAACCCAAAAAAATGGGTTGAGTTGGACTAATCACACAAACTTAATGTTACTACTTACTAGTACAAAATATTGTGCGCACTACAAAAACATACTGAGTACGAGATTTCCAAGGATTTATAGAGGATTTGACACAAGTTACTTTGCCGCGTGTTATGTAGCACGAAATCATCGGGTCAATTTGTGTAAATCAGTGTCAATTTTATATATATTTTTTGTAGTAACGGGACAAACTTAATTAATCAGCGACATAGATGCCAAAAAAATGGAGAAAAAGTTGTGGGATGGAATTTAGAGTTATAAATTGCGCCAATTTGTGCTTATTACAAATTTTGTTACATTTGTGCAGGCAATATCAAGGGAAGCAAGAGAATTTAAATTAGGAAAAACAAAGTACTATTTGATTATAGTGGGGAATGCAATATTTTCACAGTTCTTTTTCGTGGGAGCCCTCGGAGTGACGTCGTATGGCTCATCTCTGATGTCTATTGTCATCATCGCCGTCCTCCTCCCCACCACGGAGCTGATGGCCGTCATCTTTTACCACGAAAAGTTCCAGGCCGAGAAGGGCATCTCCCTCTTCCTCTCCCTATGGGGATTTGTTTCTTACTTCTACGGAGATATAAAAAACAACATCAAGAAAAAGAACCAGCCGGCGGCGGCGCTGCAAGTTACAGAGATGCCCTCTTCCGTCATTTCACCGTCAATAATTGTGACCGCTCCTTAAAGTCGTAGCGCAACAAAAGTTACAAAACTCGCAATCCATTCCATTGGACTGGCCGGCCGGCTTCATCGTCTGATTTATAGGCCTGTCGTCAAATACTTTAGTGGCATGACAATGTGTACTACTACGTATTTGTCAGTTGAAATTCAATCTATTGGATCGTGAAATTTTTAGTGTAAAAAACGCGTGATGATATTCTTTACTATATATTGAGCCCGTTTGGCAACTCTGTTTTCAGGCTTATTAGGCTTATCAGCCAACTTTTTCACCAAACATGTAAGTTTTACTTTCGCGCGCTGGATTACGTAATAAGCAGTAAAAGTAAGGTTGGAGTTACTTTTCTGGCTGTATTAGCTGAAGTTATTGTAGATGACCATTTTAGCTATTCTTACATATAATTTTTTCTTTATTTTATTAATAAAATATATTTTAAAAATAATTTTTTCTTATATCAGCAGAATCAGCCAATGCAGCTACTTCAGCCAGAACTTCATAAATTTCAGCAGAATCAGCCAAAACAGCCGATTTTCGTGCTACCAAACGGGCTCATTGAGTATGTGAAAATAAGAAGTAATTAATAATCTATATGTGATTTAAATAAAATGGTTGATAAAAATGTGATTTAGATAGAGACGATAGATAACATGTTACTCCGTACTTCCTAATTTTCTATTCACAAATTAAACCGCACGACAATAATTTTTAGTTTCTAGGTTATGGATATTTTTCTTGCATTGAAATCTTCTTGCTTGAACTTGATGAAAATTCAGTTCCAATTATGATCTAATCTCACTAAACATGATAAATTGTATAGAATCAATCAATAAGAACACTAACTGGTTGAGGAGAAACCGAATGTTGATAGTGTCGTAGAAGATGTTGAAGTCATGACGTTTAGATTTTTTTTTTTAAGTCTCTCTTTGGCCTCTTATTATAGGTGTTCTTGGGACCTTTGGGAAGAGACACGCCCCTTCTCGTTAGTCGTAAGAAGGAGCGAGCAGTCATTTATGTTTTGTATCAAAGAGAAACTCTTTTGGCCCCTTATATATTTTAATGTTAAATATACACATCATATGTTAACTATATATAAATAGAGAGACCAAATCTGTCATATGGCAAACTTAATGGTAAGACATAAATGTCCCCAATATTTATTAAATTATATTAATGGTCCAAGGGCATTTAAATTGAATATTTTTCAACAGAACTCATTTGGTTAAAGATAAGATGTATGTAATTTGATTGTTTTAAATCTAGTCTGGTATGTTCTGAAATGGTCAAATTTGAACCAATCTGGTATGGAGATATCTGTTGTATGTGTATTTTACAACAATCAATGTTTTGTTTGATCTAGTTTGATCGATATGTTCAAGTCCGGTTTGATTATAGCTAGTCTGGGATTGAAATAAACCAGTTTAATTAAAAACAACCTAAGTCTAATATGTTATGTCAAGTCTGAACTACTCTCGTCTACCATATATATATTTTATATTATTTAAGTTTGATGTGATTTGCTTTGGTGTAATGTAGCGTGATCTAGATATAGTATTGTCTGATATGAAATTGAAACAATCCTAAAGTAACCGTTCAGAATCAACATTATAATAATAAATGTATTAAAATGATAATACATTTTAATAGATGTATTAAAATAATAATTTGTTAAAATCTTAAAATTAAGGATGAATTCGAATTAATAATAATTATTTTAATGGGATGATGTTTTTAAGGCAAAAGAAAAAATACTCCGTATCTTTAACCAAATTGTGACGTACGTAATACTTCTATTTTCCAATAACCCATTATCCAGCCGCAAATTATACCGTGCGACCGGTATACCATGCGCATGGTATACCGGTCCACTAATACGTACAGTACCATTTTCTCTTCTCAATCTCCCAACGTAACAATCCAATACTATAGAAGCTTTCTTTCTTCTTCCAGGTTAGTACTTTCTTTCTCTTTATTTTTCTTTTCTATTTTCTTCAATTCTTTTTTCTTCTACACGAAATACTAAAACTTTATTTGTGATTTTACTTATATTTATATTTAACTAATTAAAATACAATTGAATTAATTTTTTTTTCTCTACCAAATTATTACAAAATTTTATTAATCTACATAAAATAAGTATATTGTATTTCATAATATAATCATACATTTTCTTTACTTTTTTTTAGCTTCAACTGATATTACAATAGAATATATATTTTTGTAATATTTTTTTAGATTTCATATTCATATTCTTTTTCTATAATATATTTCTTATCTCTTTGAAAAAGAAAATATTTATTATCTCTTTGATATGCTTTTAGTGTACGTTTTTAAGACATTAAATTTGTTTATTTCGATTTAAATTTCATAAAACATGAAATTATATTACATTTTTTATATGTGTGAGTTATGTTTATAAACAATTTCTGGAATTACATTTAATAGCATATAAATTTACATCTAACTATGTGTGAATTACATCTTAATATATGTGGTTTACATCTAAATGTATGCGAGTTACACTACAGAATAAAACATATAGCCCTAATATTAAAAATAAAACATATTCACTATTTAAAAAAAGTAATTGGGCTATTAGGATCAATTTTTCATTGTTTACATTGAAATCAATGTTTATAATACACACACATATAATTCTCAAAGACAAAAAAAAGCATTGTTCAATTTTCCAACAAGTGACATTCTGTATAAACCTAAGTTACATTTACTATCAACGCAAGTTAAATTTGTAATAACACAAGTTACATTACAAAACCAACCCCTGTTATTGAAACAAAAATGTTCTTTTCTAAAAAATTATTTTTTATGGCCTTGATATTACAAACAAAACATATTCACCTTTTACCTAAAGCAATTGTGCAATTAATTAGAGTATTAGACTCTCTTTTTTCATTGAAATCAATATTTTATTTCATACACTATGTATTTGACAAGTTACATTTCAAACGGACTTGAGTTACATTGGTCAATAACGCGAGTTACATCATTCATGCTACTGGGACAAAAAGAAAAAAATTGTTACTGTACACGCATGTACTGTTCACACGTGTACAGATCACGTGATTTTTTTTTTAATTGTGCAAAACTACATCGTTTTGGGAGTGGAGCATGATGCTCATGATGGGTCGGTTGCACCGCATACGAACTGTTATCCAACATATATCTTTGATAGTGATACATGTACTGCAAACCTTGTGTTTATGTTTTCACGTTTGTATGATAGTTGTTTGTACGCGCAATATGACGTGCACTTTGTCGTGAAGTGCACTCAAAATAGATATCAATACGACACTAATACGTAGTATAGCGAAGTAAGGTTCGTATCCACAGGGAAAGGAATACTTTTCTCTTTATAAACTAGTAACAAAGGGGGGGATTTAGATTGAGTAAATGTACTTGAATTATATTTAAACACGAAGATGAACGAGTTATGTGGTTTAATTAATGAGAAGAAGACTTGGCTTTGCTTTTATCCACTTAATGAAATGTTCGTCGATCCCGATTATATCTTTAACTATCTTCCTCTCGAATACTCAATCGAGGAGTATATCCAGTTCATCGAGGGTAGTTATTAATAACGAGAAGCGTTCATTAATAAAACTTACTACCGAGTCAATATAGAACAAGCGCCGTATATTAACTTGATAGTAGCAATAAAATCAAGATGAAAACGATTGAGATTGATAACCTCAACACAAGCGGTTTATTGGTTCAATCAATATAATTAATTCCCCTTGGCTTATTAACCATGAGAAGCATGTATTAACAACCCAAGTTTACTACCGTGAAAGAACCGAATTAATAACAAGCGTATTAACCGATTGATTCTAGTAATATTTAATATATAGAACAAGACTAGTTGATACTTTAAGTAATGCTCAATATATTAATATGGAATATGAATAGGAAGTAATTAATATTCAAGGAAGAAGATTAAAGAAAATAACTCACAACTTACAAATCATTAAGCTTCAAAGTAGCAAAACCAAGATGGAAGAGTTTAGCTCCTCATTTGGAGACTAAACATGATGAAAAATATAAAGAAAGAACTTGTCTAAACTGAGCTAAGAAGTATATGTGAATTGGTTTTTAAAGTGAAGGAAAGGAGGTGTATTTATAGGCTTTTTGAGGTGCAGGTCGAGTACTCGATCGAGTATATATACATACTCGATCGAGTATGTGTAGAACATCGAATTCGCCCTATACTCGATCAATACTCGGGTAGTTTTTATAGCTATACCCGATCGAGTATATAAGTATACCCGATCGGGTATAGACACTCGAACGTGGGAAAATCTTCTCCTGCATGTTCCTTTGTTTTCGGATCCGATCCGATTTGAAATGTCAACCAGATACTCGATCGAGTATATGTATATACTCGATCGAGTATAGACCAAAATCAGGATTTTTCCTTCTTTTTGTCTTGTACTCTTGCACCTTCCTTCACCATTGATCATTTGATTGATCTTGGACCTGTTTAAGCTCAGAATAAACCTAATCTAAACAAATTACAAGAATTTAACAAACTAAACTATTACACCGAAAGTGTGTAATTTCCGAAATATTAAACAATCAAAACTAACTAAAAGCGTAAATAAACATACGGAAATTACAAACGTATCAACTCCCCCACACTTAGTTCTTTACTCGTCCTCGAGTAAAGTCAAATGTTCAAACAGTTTAAGACCATTCCATGAGTTCAAGAAGGAAATGAACTAAGATCACCAAGAAATAAGAAAATGATTTTACAAACAACTTTCTTTCTTGGGTTTTATGATCTTCTATGCTCCATCTTCTTGCCTCTTCTTCTTTGCCTTCTCTTCTTTTCTCCTCAAGAGATCAAATGAGTTCCTGCACACAACAAATATTTCTCTCATATCTCTCATTTTGCCTAGGAGCCTTTTCAGGTTTTCATCCTAGCATCTCTTTTTGTTTTTCCATCCTTACTAACTCACTCATTTTTTTTATAAGCCATTTTTGCTTAGATTGCCCATTCTTGGGTTTTCAACCTAACTAGCATTTCAATTTTTTTATTTATTCTTTTTTTTGTTTACAAAGAGTAAAAGAAGTTCATGCATAGTAAAGTGTGAAAATAAAGATTACATACCATGATGAGTCTCCTCCCCCACACTTAGTATAAGCACTGTCCCTAGTGCCCGCCTTCTCCACCGTAATAACTGCCCCCAAAGCCGCTTCCGAAGCCTCCTCCAAAGCTCCCATCGCCCATGTGGGTGTTGCCGCCATCATCCCCTCCATCAAAACCTCCACCCCCGGAGCTAGATCCTCCAAAGTTGCCCCATTGAGAGGGGTCGTACCAAGAGGGGGGTGGGGGGTGGCTGAGCCATGGTGTGGAATTGGCCTTGATGAGCCATGTAAGAGTACATAGGTCCATAGAACCTACGTTGATCCTCTTCATACCGTCGGTTGTCTGCTGTCCTTTGCTCTTCTAGCCTTAGAAATCCAGCCCGTTGTTCTTCCCGATATTTACCAACTTCATTGGTAACTTTGTTGAGTCCTTCAAGCATTTGTTGGAAGTAATCGGGAGGTGGGGGGGCTTGGTTTGGTGCGGGTAGGTAGTGATGTGCAACCTCGGGTTCTTGGTGCTCGGGTTGATCTTCTGGGAGATCTTGGGCTTGTGGTTCTTGGAGATGTGGTGGAAGGGCATGAGGGAATAGGTAGTGGGGTTCCTCGAATTCCGGTTTGTAGCGTAGTTTGGGGGTGTCCGGGCTTGGCATTAGGAAATATTTGACCGGTTGGGTGTGTATGATCCAATTATACATGTTCTTCGGTTGGTCCCCAATATATACCGTATGGGAAAAAGAGGTGCATCCCGAGCGGCCTAGCCAACCTATGTCCATCAAACAATAGTCGGGTATAGGAGAGTTATCCGTATACCCGAACTTGCTTGCCAAGTGCATAATTACCCCACCCATGACAATGGCACCTTTGGCCATGCTTTCCTTTTTTAGATGTGCCCAAATGAGATTACATAGATTGAAGTCTACGTGACGCCGGAAAAGGGCTACGGAGATCAAACATACGTCCCCAATCCTCGTGTGGTGGTTGTTGGGGCGTCCAATCAAACAATTTGCTAAAAATTTCAAGAATAGCCGGAGGACGGGGTGTTGGACATGACTAATATACATTTGGGAGGAGTTAAAGTTCACTTCCCCGGTCATCTTTGTCCATAGGGAGTGCCCAAAAATGGTGGTATCCGAGATGGATCTCTCGTAGGGCACCGGGATGTCAAAATGTTCAGAAAACTCGAGCTTCGTTATTGAATAGTTTCGGTTAAAAAGACGAAACTCGAGTCTATCATCCCTAAAATCCTCCTCATTGTTCTCAAAGTGCACCGAGCTCATAAATTCATAAATAATTCTTTCATTTGAGTTGTATTTCGTTTTGAAAACAAGGTCCATATTCAACTCATGAAAGAATTTCTTCATCATTTTATACACTCCTAATTCACGTAGAGCATCGTGACATAGAAAACGAGAAGGTTTTACCTTCCTTTTTATGGTTGTGAGGAGTCGAGCCCGGTGATCGTTGTCGGCGGGGATGAGGTCCTCGAAACCCGGGATGGGTGCCATGGCTCTAGAGCTTTGCCCTTTGTCCTTTCTCGGTGTCATTGTTGATGGTTTTGGAGCTCAAAATACCCAAATTTCGAATGGGGGTAGGGTTTTTGGATTTCTTGGATATTTGGGAAAAAGGGATTTTGTGGGTATGAGTGTGTAGAGGAGAGTGAGGGGAGTATTTTGGTGGTGGAATGGGGTGATTTGGTGAAGGAATTAGTGAGATATGGAAGAGAGAAGATCCAAAAATGGAGTTTGGGGGAGAGGGGTTCGAAAATTTGGGTGTGTTTGGGGAAGATGAAGTGTTTTGGAGTGCATTTGGGGTTATAATCGCAGGGGTACCCGATCGAGTATCCCTGTATACCCGATCGGGTACCGGAGACAGGGGCTGGGAGACTGGCTTTTCTGAGCATACTCGACCGAGTATGTACCTGTACTCGATCGAGTATAGGAGACAGAAATTTTTATCTTCTCATTTTAGCTCATACTCGACCGGGTACAGTAGTATACTCGATCGAGTATTCCTCTTTTTATCAAAAATTTTCGAGGATTCGATCGAGTACTGAACTCGAGTCTTTCTTTTTAGTAATACCCGCCCGAGTATATAAATATACTCGACCGGGTGTATCCCCTGGTCTCAATTTTACTTCCCTTTTTTTTTTTTTCATTTTTCTCTTTTTTTTTTTTTCATTTTTCTCCATGTTTAAAAACTCACACACTCTACTTGGCAAAATGATAAAGAAAACATGCCTTGATTGGGTTGCCTCCCAAGAAGCGCCTTATTTAACGTCGTGGCACGACGTTTTATTTATTTTTATTTTTATTTTATGTGGGATCGTGAGCATCCCGTCCTTCATTTCTTTTCTTTTGCCTTTTCCAGTAAGGCCGACCTTTCTTCTTTGTTCCCGACTCAATTAAAGCATTTGGCGTTGGTGGTTCAAAAACATTTAAAGAGCAAAGAGATTGATCTTTAATTTGTTTTTTCGTAGAGTCAAAGATATTAAACTCTACTTTTTGGTCATTGAACTCTAAAGTTAATGAACCACTAGACATGTCGATTTTTGTTTTTGCGGTCTTTAAGAAGGGTCTTCCCAAAAGGATGGGCGCTGTTTGGTCATCATTCCCCATTTCGAGGACGTAGAAGTCGACGGGAAAAACCATATTCTCTACTTCTACCAGCACATCTTCTAATACACCCTTCGGGTAGGTACTAGAACGATCTGCTAGTTGAATCACTACACCGGTTTGATGTAGTGGGCCAAGTTGTAGGGTTTTATAAACGGAGTAAGGAATGACGTTTATAGATGCCCCCAAATCTAGTAAGGCCTTAGGAAATGTGGTGTTTCCTATCGTGCAAGGAATAGTGAACATGCCCGGGTCGTCACATTTTTTTGGAAATTTTTTCTGAAAGACTGCCGAGACATGCTCACTAACTTCAACCTTTGGTCTCCCCTTTAATTTATCTTTTCTTTTTATTACACATAGTTCTTTCAAAAACTTTGCATAACGGGGAACACTTTGGATTAGTTTAAAGAGTGGGGTATTTACCTCACAATCGGCAAAGGTCTTATAGATGTCCCGATCACTCTCTAGCTTCCTTGTATCTTTCAACGCCTCAGGGAATGGAGGGATTGGTTCATATGATGATAGTGGAGGAAATTTTCTCTTCATTGGCTCCTCCTCCTTGTGGTCAATCTCCTCTTTTTCACTTTCCTTTGCTTGTGATTCCGGGCTACTCCTTAGCATGATGGCATTGACTTGTTGCCTTGGGTTCTGTTCAGTTTGGGAGGGAAGCCTACCTGAATCTCTTGCTTCAAGTCGATTTACAGCATTCGAAATTTGGCTAACTTGAGTTTCCAAATTTTGAATGCTTGACTTTGTTTCTTGTTGAAATTGCACCACGTTTTGTTGTAAGGTGCCCATGGTGGTAGCAAGAGTTCGAATCATGTCTTCCGTAGACATACTCGATTGAGAAGGTGGGTTGGCTTGTTGAGGGTTTCCATACCTTAAGTTTGGATGATCCCTCAATCCGGGATTGTAAGAATTTGAGAACGGGTCATACCTCCTTTGTTGGTGGCTTTGGAAACCCAAGGCGTTGACATGCTCTGTGGTGTCTTCTTGAAGAGTTGGGCATGAGTCCGTGGGATGCCCTTGTTGTGTACAGATACCGCAGACCTTGACTTCTTGGGTCTTGGATTTTAAAAGGAAATCTTTAACCAAAGAAGTCAAGCCGGTCACTTGACTTGCCAAGCCGTTCACTTGACTTTCCAACGCGTTGTTGGATTCCACCGCCATGATTCTCCGAGTTGAGGATCGCCCATTATAGTGTCTGGAGTTCTCGGCCAACTCCGAGATGAGATCCCTCGCTTGTGAAGGGGTTTTGTTGACAATGCCCCCTCCACACGCCGCATTCACCATGCGGCGATCTTGATCCACAAGACCATCATAGAAGTAGAGGATGAGGTCTTGTTCGGTGTATCCGTGATAGGGGCAACTTGCACATAGCTTCTTGAATCTCTCCCAATATTCATATAGAGATTCATCATCTTTTTGTTCGATGTTACTTATTTGCTTCTTGAGTGATGATGAAATAGAAGCGGGGTAGTACCTGTCAAGAAAGGCCTTCTTCATTTGTGGCCATGTAGTGATACTTCCCGAAGGAAGATAGAAAAGCCAGTCCTTTGCAGTATCCTTTAGAGAGAATGGGAAGGCCCTCAGTTTGATTTGCTCCTCGGACACACCATTGGGGCACATGCTTGTGCACACAATATGGAATTCCGACAAGTGTTTGTTCGGATCCTCCCCTCGTAAACCATGGAATGATGGAAGGAGATGAATGAGCCCAGATTTTAGCTCAAATGTGACCCCCGTATCAAGAGTTGGAAAAGTGATACATAGGGGTTGTTGATTAAGATTCGGAGCTGTGAGCTCCCTCAATGTTCTCGTCTCAAGAGCCATAGTGATTGGCTCTTCGGTCTCGCTAGATTGAGAACTAGCACTTGATGATTCCTCCGAAGAAGTATTCGGAAATAAATTCCTAAACCTTTCGAAGGCTTGTTCTGTTTGGGGGGTTGTTTGGTAGATGATTTCGTTTATGGATCGGGTTCTTACCATATACTCAAACAAAGCTCAGAAGAAATAGAAATCTCTATACTTCAACTATATTTTTTTTTTTCTTTAAAATGAAATAAAAAGAAAAATAAATTGCCTTTCCCCGGCAATGGCGCCAAATTTGACGTGCACTTTGTCGTGAAGTGCACTCAAAATAGATATCAATACGACACTAATACGTAGTATAGCGAAGTAAGGTTCGTATCCACAGGGAAAGGAATACTTTTCTCTTTATAAACTAGTAACAAAGGGGGGGATTTAGATTGAGTAAATGTACTTGAATTATATTTAAACACGAAGATGAACGAGTTATGTGGTTTAATTAATGAGAAGAAGACTTGGCTTTGCTTTTATCCACTTAATGAAATGTTCGTCGATCCCGATTATATCTTTAACTATCTTCCTCTCGAATACTCAATCGAGGAGTATATCCAGTTCATCGAGGGTAGTTATTAATAACGAGAAGCGTTCATTAATAAAACTTACTACCGAGTCAATATAGAACAAGCGCCGTATATTAACTTGATAGTAGCAATAAAATCAAGATGAAAACGATTGAGATTGATAACCTCAACACAAGCGGTTTATTGGTTCAATCAATATAATTAATTCTCCTTGGCTTATTAACCATGAGAAGCATGTATTAACAACCCAAGTTTACTACCGTGAAAGAACCGAATTAATAACAAGCGTATTAACCGATTGATTCTAGTAATATTTAATATATAGAACAAGACTAGTTGATACTTTAAGTAATGCTCAATATATTAATATGGAATATGAATAGGAAGTAATTAATATTCAAGGAAGAAGATTAAAGAAAATAACTCACAACTTACAAATCATTAAGCTTCAAAGTAGCAAAACCAAGATGGAAGAGTTTAGCTCCTCATTTGGAGACTAAACATGATGAAAAATATAAAGAAAGAACTTGTCTAAACTGAGCTAAGAAGTATATGTGAATTGGTTTTTAAAGTGAAGGAAAGGAGGTGTATTTATAGGCTTTTTGAGGTGCAGGTCGAGTACTCGATCGAGTATATATACATACTCGATCGAGTATGTGTAGAACATCGAATTCGCCCTATACTCGATCAATACTCGGGTAGTTTTTATAGCTATACCCGATCGAGTATATAAGTATACCCGATCGGGTATAGACACTCGAACGTGGGAAAATCTTCTCCTGCATGTTCCTTTGTTTTCGGATCCGATCCGATTTGAAATGTCAACCAGATACTCGATCGAGTATATGTATATACTCGATCGAGTATAGACCAAAATCAGGATTTTTCCTTCTTTTTGTCTTGTACTCTTGCACCTTCCTTCACCATTGATCATTTGATTGATCTTGGACCTGTTTAAGCTCAGAATAAACCTAATCTAAACAAATTACAAGAATTTAACAAACTAAACTATTACACCGAAAGTGTGTAATTTCCGAAATATTAAACAATCAAAACTAACTAAAAGCGTAAATAAACATACGGAAATTACAAACGTATCACAATACGTGAAGGTGTAAATACCCAATGTGTTACTTGTTTAAATATAAGTATATTGTATATTTATCTGATAAGATTACTTTAGTATTTGACATATTAACATTAATATGAAGGGAAAATCGTTGAATTTTCATGGAAGTAGAGTAAAACATTACAATTAACCTAATGCCATAATAAAGTCTCATATCTATAACTTTATCCCCAATCTAAAACGTAGTAGTAGGGAACCCAAATAACACATTAATAAATTCCATTTATAAATGGAATTCCACAAAATGTATAGGAATTCATCAAAAAGACAGAAATAGTTAAATAGAGACTTCACTCTAAGAATAACTGTCAGTTTCCTGTTGACTTCTATTCTCACTGGAATAGAGGATTAGAAATCTATAAGAATTGAATGAGTATAACAAGACCTTTTACCTTTCACAAAACCACATATACCGCATTTATCTTTTAGAGTTGAAAATGCACTAAAATGAACACACTATAAATCACTTAAGAATACAAACCGCTAATAAGACGATCTATTTAGTCGGTACAGACTACATACAAATAGACTCCCTTATAAGAATACACAAAGATTAGTTTCAATCGCTTAAATCGAACAATATTGTACTGGAAAACGGAGTGGTGAAGAGAATTGAAGTACGGGTATCTAAAATGACAAGCATGGTTTTTTTAATAAAAACAGTCCATCTATCATAAAAAAGGATGACAGATTGACACGCAAGCCTAAGGCCCTATTTGGTTGGAGGGTTTCGGAGGGGAGGGGAGGAAAGTGGGGGATTTGTGTGTGTTTGGTTGAAGGAAATAGGAGGGAAGGGAAGGAAAGTGGAAGGCTTCCGAAATCCTCCACTTCCTCCCATTCCAAACCCCCCAAATCGGGGTATTTTGGAGGAAACATGTTGATAACCACAAACTATTCATCTCCTACGTGAAGGGACAAAACGATATAATATAAAAAAGGTAAAAAATAAAAAGTTTTGAAAAATTAAAATTTTAAAAATTTAAAGATCAAAAAATTTAAAAAAAAAATTATTAAAATAAAAAAAAAACAAAACATTTTAAAAATTTAAAATTTAAAAAATAAAAAAGGTTATAAAATTCAAAAAAAAAAATTATAAATTTAAAAAGTAAAAAATCAAAAAATCCAAAAAAAGTAGTATGACTCATGACCATAGGAGTAAGCTATCAAATAAAGGTAAATTAGGAAAATATTTTCATTAAACCTTTCCTCCTATTTCCTCCAACCAAACACAAATTTTTATCAAAATCCTTCCTTCCCCTTCCCTTCTCTTCCCTCCTTGACTCTCCCCTTCCCTCCCCTCCTTTAAACCAAACAAGGCCTAATTGTGGAGACGATATAGAGACGAGAGACAATAAAGTTATTGTCCATAAAGAAAATAATAGGCCACATATGTAATTGGAAAATAATATATACTCACTGGGAGGTAAAATGAATAGTAAGCAGTCTTGTATTCTACAATCCGGCGGTGGCTGCATGCCTGCATAAGCATTTATATTGAATGAGTGAAGGCCTAGATAGTAAAGATTCACACAGATGGAAGTTCTTGCTCACAGAGGCAATGAATATTTTGACAAATCTTTCTCCCCTTGGAATTCAGATCAATCATCTGCCCATACGCAGTTTGAAATTCCACCTGTTAAGAAGGATGTATAAAGGAAGAAGATTTGCACAATTGTTATTAGCATCATACAAAAAATATTAAAATAACACCCTGTAGCCTGTAGGAATTACTAAACCAATAGAAGGCATGCATCACCTCATTAAATATATCCAGCAGATCGACATAATAAGGCTTCCCTTTGAAGTGCTTCTTGAGAATTCTTGGAATGCAATCAAGCCAACCTATGAATATACCCATCCAATCCATAAATTAAACAAAATGCGTCACTAAATCCAAATTGTACAACATAAATTATCCTTTTGGAGGGACCACACCTTAGGCAACCTGAACCAACATGGTTGACCTCTCCGCGTATGAGAGTCGTCCATAATATCATTAAGAACAATGAAGTAAGCTTGAAGCTGCAACATTGTGATTTCATTCAGAAAATCACAATTGTGATAGCAAAAGGCTAATATGTTTAGGCTGAAAAGACTAATAAGCTAAACACCCAATTGTTGGGGAGTGTTATTTTTTCAATCTTTCAAGGCGTAAAAACCCGTTCAGGCATACTAAATGACTTCTATACTGCTTAAAACAGATCTTGATAAGCTGAAGGGCTTTTCACAGTTGCTAAGCAATCATTTGGGATGCTTAATGGATCATAGTTTGTCAGGTGATTCAACCAAGTAAGATTTTTGAGTACTTGAAAGAAAAGACTATGTAAGTAACCGTTATGTATATGTAAAAGGAATCAATAGAGGATGATTATGTAGTCTATGTAATTAGCAGCCACATTGTATTTACAATAAAACCAATTACTATACGAGCCTTAGAACAGTTTTTTATTTCCTAAAGAGATACATAATTGAAATTAAAAAAATGCATTAAAAGATAGGGAAAAATGCACTCATTTGTAATAGTATAGGGAAAACCCCATAAAATTAGCAATAAAATTACTTGCAGTTTCCAAAAGGTAGCATCGCTATGATAGAGTGAAGTGCTGCTGAAGTGCAGATAATCTTGATGGGAACTTCATCGGATTTGGGAGGAACCACAATCACCTCCTCTATCACCAGCGGCTCCCCAGCTTTCCTTACCACCACAACTACACTATATTTAATGAAACCATCGGATTGCGTCGATCTAAGCGAACAACAAGTTATCGCAGTGAAGATGGGAGACGGGCTCTATAATCGCCTGGTTAGGCTGGAACATCACGAAATCGAGCTATACTTGCTTCGGATTTGCCTTGTACGCGAAATACGAATACGTGTTGATTAGAATAGGTGAGCCAGTTTTGACATGGAATTCCAGGAACCGCTAGCTTAACGGTAGTGACAGCAGGGAATAAGAGACCTATTGATTAGCAGAAGAGACATACGTTTAGAGATAACAGACTGTAAAAGATGGAGACAAAAGATATCAGCTAAGCGTACAACTCTTGGATCGCAGGGTACCAGTCAAATAAGCAACCTGATTACACCAACATTTTTTTCATACCTGAAATTCCCCTAACCTTCATTGGCTATTACTCCCTCCGTCCCAGTTTTCCTGTCCTATTTTCCTTTTTGGGTTGTCCCAAGATAAGTGTCTTTTTTCCTTTTTTGGAAAGAAGTATGTTGCCTACACCATTTCACTTTATTATACTCAAACATGAACCACAAATTTTACTTTTTCAATAAGTTCATTAATAATCGTGTCAAGTCAAACTAAGTCACATAAAATGGGGCAGAGGTAGTATAAGATTGTAGATTATTGATATATATATATATATATATATATATATATATATATATATATAGGTTTTGGTTCAAATAAGAACAAGATCTTATGAGAAAAATGAGAACGAATCTAGACCGTTAGATTTGCCTCAAGTGAAATTCAGTGTGCATTAGATGAAACTGTAATGTGCATTAGGTGAAATTGAAATGTGCATCACAAAGGGTATGATAGAGTGGCATTATGTGCAGTTGAATTGTGCATTACGTGAAATTGAAATGTGCACAAGGTGAAGCTGAAATGTGCAGAATAAACAGTACGATGTGATGTTATTTTTGTACTTTTTTTTCGCACATATCAGTTTCATCTAATGCACACTTGAGTTTAAATTTTTATCTTGCACATTTCAATATCATTTAATGCACATTTCAGTTTCACCAAATGCACAATTTGGTTCCACATGATACAATCCAACGGTCCAGATTCATTCTCATTTTTCTCCTAAGATCTGTTCTTACCGGAACCGCTCCCTATATATATATATATATATATATAGAGAGAGAGAGAGAGAGAGAGAGAGCTCTTCTCATCAGGCCGGCCTGACGGGCTGCCCCGTCCGGCCGAGCCCGTTTGGGTACCTTCCCGGTGGAATTTTTTGATGAAATTGTTTGAGCATGTTCCTCATCAAGTCTAGTTTGTTCATACCAAATTTCAGCTCAAAATTCGATCGGGAAGGTCGTCAAATGATTTTTGCAAGTTAACTGGTCCGGAATATGTATTTTCCGGACCAGTTTAATATGTATACCAAACTTAAATGTGTCATAATTTAGTTTTCAACAAAATATTTTCAAACAAGAGTGAGAAAAATTTGTAGATGAAAATTTAATCTTAATGAATAATGACATTGTGATCTCATATTATTTGTTATTTTATTTACAATGAAAGAATTAAAATTGAATTTATAAATCAAAACAGTGAAAATTTATCATTAAAGCTGGCTTTTCATGCAAAATGTTTCTAATAAGTCATAATCTAACATTTTAATAAATACGTAGTATAATGTAACAAAATTTTATGCAAAATTGCATTATTATTATAATTACTATCACTATTATTGTTCTTGCTTTGTTTTTTTTGTAAAGATAGTATAGTTGTGCGAGATCATAATAATAATGATGTACCTCATTAGAGTAACATTTTTATGGTTTAGTATGGTCTGATCTGATATGATCTTGTCTTTATAAGTCTAGTATGATCTGAACTGGTATAGACATTTGGTCTATATGGTCTGGTCTGATCTGTTCTGGTTTGATATGAACTAGTCTGGTTTTGTATGTTGCAGTCTGATTCGGGACTGAAATATGTTTGAGTAGAAATATCGTAATTTTTTCAAACTCTTTCTACTACGTGATCACTAGTACAAAATTGCATTCTATAAGTAAGATTTTATACGATTTAACACAAAATGTTCGTTTTTTACTAAAAAAAAATGCATTCTATAATTATAAGATTTAACATGAGTTAATGTTTAATTGTTATAATGTACTCCGTATACTGTTAGAATATAATTATTCTATAACAAATAATTAGAATAAAAAAGTAAAAATAGGTGAAACTTCGTATCCATTCAGACCCTACATTAGGGGTGGGCATAACGGTTTGGTTTAACCGAACCGAACCGTACCAAACCGAACTAAACCGAACCGAACCCGAACCGTATGCAATTTGGTTTTAGTTTGGTACTATTTCTTTCAAACCGTATTAAACCGAACCGAACCGAACCGAAACCGATAAAAACCGAACAAAACCGAACCGAACAACACACACACACACTTTTTATTTATCTTCACTCTTCATTTTAAGATATAAATAAAAAATTTAGACATGAAAATGCATATTTAGGCATATACTCGTATTATTTTAACTTTTACACATTTCAAACATTCATTATGACAAAGTTAGCTAATACGACATATTTGTATTTATTATGGTTGGCGATATCAATAGCAAATTGTATTTCTATTTCTATTTCTATTTCTGTGTGAGTCTTTGGTTTAGTTTGTTTCAATTGGTTTAGTTTGTTTCAATTGGTTTAGTAGGTGAAGGCAGGTTGTTTAAGCTAGGTTCTAGTATTTCATTTAGTTGGAATTTCAATTGGCAGGTTGTTTAAGCAAGTGAAGGCAGGTTGTTCAATTGGTTTGGTGAAGGCTGGTTCTAGTATTTCATTTAGTTGGAATTTCAATGAAAACAAAACATTCAAAATTACTCATTTACTCAAAGTGGATTGTAACATATGAAACAAGACATAATCATTTTCAAGTTTATAAACCGAACATCAAACCGAACACCAAACCGAACCGAACCGAATTTTTCCCAAACCGAACCAAAACCAAACCGAAATTCTTTTGGTTTGAGTTTGGTACTATTTTCCTCAAACCGAATAAACCGAAACCGAACCGAAATCGATAAAAACCGAACCGTAAACCGATTCGCCCACCCCTAGGCATACAGCCTCTCTGTTTCTCCAGTTCTCACTTCTCATGACCTAATCCCCTACCCACCGCGCCTAGCCAATTGACTCCAGCAGACCAAGCACCACTTCCGCCACCAACCAGGACGGCCGCACGACTGTATAACCCGCAGCAGCCGGAAACCGCACCACCTGGACCAGTCGGACGACGCCTCCAAGAAGCGCACACCTCTCTTTAGGTATTATGAATTCCTACTTTCGAATTCCAACCAATTTATGCTGTGTTGCTGTTTAATTTTATGAATGTTGGGTTAAAGAAGCATTATCTTGGGTTAAGCAAGCATAATTCAGGTCTGTCCACCATGCCTCAAGCACTACGGATTCTATCATCTTGTTCTTTTATTTCTTGCTAATTACTCCGTATTTGGTATGTAATAGAGTTTGAGGTGCCTTGGTATTTTGTTGACTATGATTCAGGACATCTGCTGCTATGAGGGGAATTGCAAAAAGACTAAGGCTCCATTTGTTTATGAAAAGACAAATATATAGAAATCCTCTGAATTTCTTGTGTTTAGTATCTGAAAATACTTTTCATTGATTCTTTGTCTCTTTGATAGTTTCTAAAAACTGCTTGAGGTCATTCCTTAGCTTACACGTGCTTAAAAGAATTGAAAAGTTAGTGCTTGAAACTTGGATGAATTGAACTTAAGCTTGATTATTCTGAATTCCTTGTTTTACAATGTATTTGATTTTATATTTATTTGTGTTTATTACACCCAGGGTTCGAAAATTGTATATACTTTTGTCTAGGTATTGTTTAATTGATTTAATTGGTTTCAAATTGAGATAGAGCACGAGTAAATATTTCTCAAGGTTCAACAAGTTCTGCAGTGTGAAGAACCTGAGAAAACGTTCTTTGCATGGGGATAACTTTGTAGAGAAGATTACTTTGAAGGATATTTCGTAATCTTTCTCAATGCTTATTCATAGAATTGTCTCATTTCTTCTGTCATAATTGCTAAAATCTTTGGTCCCAATTTTGTTAACTCTAACAACTTGTTACTGTTTTTAACATTTTTTACATCGTGTTGTCTTATTCAGGATGTTTTTTCTGCTCATAATGACAAAAAATGAGTATAGAAGGAGGTGATAATGCCAAGAGGGCAAGAAATTATCTTTTCATATCTGTCATACTTTTTGCTTAACTGGCTAAGTGCTATGCAGAGTGTTAACTTAGCCCATTAGTATAATAATTTCATTGATACTCTTTGCTCAAAGACTATGTAAAGGAGGAGAAGTACTTGACAGGATTCTTTCCAGGTGCATAAATATATCATCTCATTTCGCCACTCTCTTGCAGTCACTATACTTATTAACATCATTTTAATCTTGTGCTTTTGGAATGAAGGGTTGGGAAATACTCATAAGAAGATGCTAGAGCAGTTTTGGTTCAAACTTTAAGCATGGTTTCTTACTGGCATCTTTAAGGATTCTTAGCAGTTTTGATCTAAAGCCATATTCAGTAAAATGAACATTATGGATTACCAGAGCAGCATGAAAAACTAGAGAAAGAGGTAGAAGTGTGCACTAGTCGATGGATTTAAGATTCAAGTCGAAGATAATGGAAAAGAGGCGTTAAAGCGAAGAAAGTCGAGGTAGAAGTCAATTACCTCATCAAGCTTCAAAGTGGAGAAAGTCAGCATTTTTTAGTACGGAGTACTAAATAAGTGAAAGGATTTATATATAATCTCTACTTTTAGCTCAATGTTCTAGTATAATTATAAGTTATTTAGCTAGTCATTTGTTTTAGTCATCTATTATTTTATATATCCGCACAAGTATGTTAAAAATTTAATTGAGTAGTTTAGTTTTGGCATAAAGTACAATCTTTAGCCTTGAATGTACTGCTTTGTTGATATTTACATTTCAGTACCATATCAAATTACCTTACATAATTTGAATGGTGAAAAATATAATATAATTATATGTTTATCATAAAATGTTGAAAAGTGACGAAAAACTTGTAACTAAAGTAATTCCAATTAACGATGAATGTGTATAAATATGACAAAAATAAGTAACTTAATTTTGTTATCGTCACAATTTAAAACCTAGAAAATCTATCAAGGTTTGTCACTAAATCCTATGTTTTGTTGACAATTTATGATTTTGTCATTTATTATTCGAATTATTAGTGACAAAATACATATTTAGATGACAAAAAAATCG